GCCCCTACTCCATCGCCTTCCTTCCGCTTCCATTTCTTCTTTAAATTCCCTCTGCGCGTGTATTAACAGGGTTTAAAGGAACATGGTGCTAGTCCCAGTTTCGGGAACTTTACTTTGCAAAAAGTGAACCGTTTAGGATTGCGAATTTAAATATAGAGATTTGTGTCGCAGACAAAGTCAGCAGTCAAAAATCAGCTCTTTAAAAAAGGTAATATTCAATTCTTTAAGAAAAATGAGTAGTTTCCGCATGGTTTGTTCTTAAAATTTATGCAATTTCTAAAAAAATATTTTCTAAAAAAACCCTCAATATATTTATTTAATTCTTTTCCACGGATAGAAGAAGGGGCTCTGAAAATAATGGCATGGGGCTCTTTTTTGTTGAACTCTCCGAATTTTCGATTTTTTTAAAATTTAGAAATAATGCGGGATAGTAGCTTGTCCAGTGTAGGTTGTGTTAGCTTTAATACTTGATCTTTTGCTAATTTCAGGAAAATCATTTTTTTAGGTTTGCACATAACATGTTGCAAAATAAGCCTTTTTTAATTAAATAGTTTAGTTTACTTTTTATGCCTAAAAAATTTTATAATTACATTTTGACATAGCTAGTTATCACAAAAAATAATTCATTTAATGCCACAGAGCGTCAGAAAGAAGGCAAAAGTACTCAACGGACTTAAGGTACAGATTAGATCTGTACGACGATTACAAAAATAGTGTTATTTTGATTTTAGTAAATAATGTTAATGTAATACATATCGATGACACCACATTTAACTAATTGGTAATTTGTTTCGCAGAATAATAATATCAAATTTTGTTTTCGCATTCTTTACAAAAATTACAATTTTGATTTTAGCTCTAATATTACCCAAGTTATTCTTACATTTCCGGTAAATCATGGGAAATTTTTATTTTCATGTGTACATCTCGTGAAGTAAATCAACTTGTTCTCGGGCGTTAAAGTGGATAAATTGATCCCATTCAGATTCTCTTTCTCAAACTCGTACACCCTTCTTTGTGGCAAGATTATTTTATACTATCAGACAAAAAGAAAAAAAAATTGCCTTCTCACATTAGGTTCGTTTATTGGTAGGCGAATCATCTTTCGGTTTTTCTTTCGTGAAAGCCAAAGCTCCGAGGAGCAGCAGACGTTTCATGAAACTGAGATATAGCCGCTCCTCCCGACACGATTCCTCCAGCGGGCATCGGACCAGAATAACGACGGCCCGTTCTTCGCCCCCGCCCCCACGGCCGCTGCATTTGCACTTCCAACTCAGAACCCTACTCCTTCGGCTAATATCTAGTTCTTCCGGTCGCTCCGTTCCACCACCGCCCGCCTAGACGCCCGCCTTGGTCCGCGGCGCGCCCGCTCTCTGACCCAGCCCGCGCGCCCCGCCCGCCGCCCCGCCCGCCGCCGCGCCCAGCCCCGCCCCCTCCCGCTCCGCACCAAGAGACCAGTGGTGCGCGGGTCTGCCAGGTTCTGGCCGCATATGCTGCAACGCCTAGCCTAGAGCTTTCGGGCCGCCGCTCCCAGGCCGACCCCGCCCCGCGCAGACGCCCGGCAGACGGCGCCGCGCCGCGGGAGCCCATTGGCCGAGCGCTTCCTGGGCGCCGAAGTTCGGAGATCCGCCTCGTCCCGCATGACCACGTGTGCATCCTGCACCTCAGACACAAAACTGCTGCCTGCGCGTAAACGCACGTACACAGGGGCACGCCTGTTCCTACCCTTACCGCTCACGAGTAAAGAGGTTGTTCGAAAATAATAGGCGGGCTTTCCTTTCACGGTTTCGTGAACTACAATGAAATTAAATATTTCTTTATTCTGTTATTCTGGAAATCGCGTTGTCTTCAGGCAAACTTGGTAATTACTCTGGAGCACATTGCAGCATGCATTTTTTGATAGCTTATTGTTAATTTCATTCTATTCGCTATTTTGAACTCGGTTAACTCATTAAAATTTGGCACAAAATTATGATCATTTTGAGCACGCAGAGAGCATGCGACCTACAAAGTGGACACAAACCACTCGACACCCTTGTCAGTTTGACAATCTAGCTGTGACATATTATGATTCCAAGGTAAACGAAAAATAGATTAATTTTATATTACAATATTATACATTGAGAAAAGCTGGGTGTTAAACATGTCTAAGTGAAGAATACAATTTTTGTACAAAAATATTCACTGATATTCATCGTGGTATCCATTACGTTCAATTATAACATTTTTAGATGTTAACTGTTCCAGCTTAGGATGTTAGCGTCCCAACAATAAAACAATGTAGAACAAAATACATGTGCATTTGTTTCTTTCGAAGTTTCACTAAAACTCGCTAATGAATAAATATGCCCCAACGTAATTGAGCAATTCATTATTATTTATGTAGTACACCTATATTTCATACACGTACCATACATGTATGCGTATTGTGCATGTACACCGCAAACGTATACTACAGATTCATTTCATAAAAAAAGTCATTGGGCAGAATCAATGACAGAAACGCGGTTATCTTAAACGTTCACTGAAGTGTCACAATAGATTACGTAGTTGTATTCACCCCTACACACACATACACAAAATTAACATTTGACGATCGCTTTCAAATAGTGTTCGCTTCCCCGCTGTCTTGGTGAAGTGTCAACGACACCGTTTCACTTAAAAAAACCTCCGAGCCAAACTTTGGAAACCTTATCCCAATGGTCGGGGCGACAGAAATGAGGGGCAGGAAGCGTGTAGTTCGCAGGCTGTGCGCACGCGGCTGCCGCGCGGGCGAGTGGGCCAAGAGCAGGGCTGCCGCCCACGCGCGCCCAAAATAAACAGAACGCAGGTGGCGGCCAATTATTACGGGGGCGGCCGGGCCTTCTCCGCCCACGCATTATATGTTGCCCCAAATATTCGCGAATCTGAACGTATGTGACGTTTTCAAAAGGTCTACTTTGCAATTGTCATCGTGATTAAAACAATTTGGTTGCCCATATTTTTTGTAGTTTCTCTAAAGTATATTTTCATCTCCCAAAAAAGTGTAAACCTGGGCTTATTCTTACTTTAAAAAGGTGTGAAAGAAGTTGGGAGCTGAAGGCCAATAAGGCCGAGATGAGTTGTACATGAACAGCAACACACAACACTGTAGTCATTATCTTGAAGTCTTTCTTCAAGGGACA